AAGAAAGGACTATCAATTGTAAGATGACAGAATGTTGGGTGTCAGCAAGAGAAACAGTCTAAAATGCGAGCACCTAATTGGACATGTCAAAATCAAACAAATACGAATACAAGTTCAAATATCTGGGTTTGTATCTTCATAAATGACGGAATATGTGATTCCGAAGACACATTGGAATAGACAAAAGATTCCTTCCAAAGGCCCAACAAAATATTAAGAAACAGAAAAGATTTCCTTAGAAACAAATAAAACAATGCTGAACTGGTATGCAACATCAATCCTCTAATATGGCAGTGAATGTTGGACAATTTCCCAACAGAAAAAGAGAATACTTGCAGTAACAGAGATGTAGCTCTACAGGAGGATGTTGAGAACACCATGGACAGAACATGTAAGCAACGAGAATAATTTATAGAATCAAAAAGGCATGATTACACTTAGAATCAGAAAGAGTTCGAAATTTTGGGGACACAAAAAAGGGTTAGGAAAATGTGACTCTCCCAGGATTTATGGAAGGCAAAAAGCGAGGCAATTGAGTAATCTGGCAAACGAGTTTGTGTAAATGGATGGTAGAAAAGGAATTAGGAAGGGACGTAAAATAGACGAATAAGAGCTACAAAGGATAGAAGATTGTCGAGGGTCACCTCCTGAAGGGATATGACACATAGAAAAAGAAAAGCTTTTGTTTGGTAGTTGGCTCCTTTTGGAGAACTCCTCGCTCCTTTGCCGCCGGGATATTCCAGACGTCGCCGACAGGGCAGTTATATTTTAAATAAAGGTGCTTAGACATTTGAGTAAACTTGTAACATATTTACGGATATCGACCGTGTATACATAAAAAAAAAAAAAAAAAATCTTGTCGTTTTTAACTTTGGATCTGCGCCAAATAATTCCGTGCGTAAGAATGACGTCATTAGGTGGTAAACAACAACTGTAGGCGTTGCTGTTGTGTTTAAAGAGAGAAAAAAAACGTGATGGATCAGATGTGCAACGCAAAATCACCACCTTTTATATCCTGAGGAAATAGAACTTCCGGTAGGATCGGATTATTGATTAAAGAAATACATGAAGGTAATTCCGAAAAATATGCTTCCAGTTAATATTTCATTTAAGCGCTTTAGAGATTACTAGCAGTAGAGCCCGGTGTTGCCCGGGGATGTAACAGTAAGAGATAGATCAAGTATCGACCATCATAAAGACTGAAAAATAAAATTGACAAAGATAATTGTTTAAGGTTTACGGACACGCATGTCTTAATTAGTTTTTTGTTTTGTTTTGTTTTATTTTTTTATTTTTTTTTTTACGAATTGGTCAAACCCAAACTGAAACAAAAACATTGTTTTCAATCATTATGAGTCTACCGATTGAATAGAATTTTATTATAAACAATTGTCTTGTAAATGGAATTTTTAAAGCATTCTGAATGTAAAAATAAAGAAAAAAGTGTGCAAGACAATAAGAAACACTACATGCCAAAAAAAAGTTAGTTTTGTTGAAATCGGTTGAAAAATGTAGGAAATCCGATCCCATATATAAACGAACACACACACACACACACACACACAAACAAACAACCTGGGTTTTATAATAAGTATAACTCGATATGAGTTGTCCCCCTTTCATTAATGCCTCTTAATTGATTTTGTGCAAAAACAATTGTGTTTTTCCAATTTTTGGCGCTGTCAGAACCACCGCAAGGTAATTTTACGTAGACCTGTGAAATTTTGTTGAAATCGGTGTGTGCGTGTGTGTGCGTGTTTGTGTCTGTACGTTTATATATTGGATCGGATTTCCTACATTTTTCAGCCGATTTCAACAAAACTTCACTTTTTTTGGCATGTAGTGTTTCTTATTGTCTTGCACACTTTTTTCTTTATTTTTACATTCAGAATGCTTTAAAAATTCCATTTACAAGACAATTGTTTATAATAAAATTCTATTCAATCGGTAGACTCATAATGATTGAAAACAATGTTTTTGTTTCAGTTTGGGTTTGACCAATTCGTAAAAAAAAAAAAAAAAAAAAAAAAACTAATTAAGAGATGCGTGTCCGTCAACGTTAAACAATAATCTTTGTCAATTTTATTTTTCAGTCTTTATGATGGTCCATACTTGATCTATCTCTTACTGTTACATCCCCGGGCAACGCCGGGCTCTACTGCTAGTTTTAGCTATTTCTGAGTGACATGTGGAATTTTATGTTTGCTCTAAAGTAAAATTCCTCACTTCTGTTGAGATTTTTTATTGTATTTTTTCTGTATGCGAAGAAGAGAAATCTTTTTAAACCGCTAACGCCACATAAGATAGAAAGTTGTGAGAATCATAACCGCCTATGTCCTGAACGGACCCGACACATAGAAGAAGAGTAGAAATTACCCTAACGATTGCCAATTCCGAGCGCTTTTGATTAATATATTAACTATTCTCAAGAATTTTGGCTATGCTATTTCAGGTGGTGCGTGAGTGTTATTATAAACAACGTATAAGTTACTGAAAATAGACATATTTTCAATTCCCGAATACAACCAGTCTATTGTGGTCGTGTTCATAGTTGATGCTCTTAAGGTTTTTTTTTATATATATAAATACCATATAAATAACTACATCCGCCAGCAAGGACTTTGATCGGTAGATTAGAGGTTTGAAGAGGCATGGAAATACTTCTTGTTTGCTGTTGTCCCCAGGTTTGCCCTTACTCTTGGTGGTAGCACCTGTTAGGGTCCCAGCTATGGACAAATAATTAACCTCCAAACTGCGGTTAAACAAAACTATAAAAAAACATTTTTATAGTGACAATACCATCAATACATTTTCATAGTAAAAATTACCAGTAATACATTTTTATCAAAAAAATTACCAGTAATACATTTTTGTAAAAACAAAATTACTAGTAATACATTTTTGTAAAAAATACCAGTAATATATTTGTAAAAATTTTTTACCAGTAATACATTTCTGTAAAAAAAATTTATCAGTAATACATTTTTGTAAAAAAAATACCAGTAATACATTTTTGTAAAAATATTTTACAGTAATACAATTTGTAAAAAAAAATTATCGGTAATACATTTTTATAAAAAAAATACCAGTAATACATTTTGGTAAAAAAAAAAATTACCAGTAATACATTTTTGTAAAAAAAAAATTATTAGTAATACATTTTTGTAAAAAAAATTACCAGTAATACAATTTGTAACAAAAATTATCAGTAATACATTTTTGTAAAAAAAAAATTACCAGTAATACATTTTTGTAAAAATATTTTACAATAATACAATTTGTAAAAAAATTATCGGTAATACATTTTTATATAAAAACATACCAGTAATACATTTTTGTAAAAACAAAATTACCAGTAATACATTTTTATAAAGAAAATTACTAATGCTCCCAAGAAAATTAAAATTCGGTATTAAATGGGTCGATAAACCGCTAAACAGACTAAGAAATTTATTCAATATAACCACTTATATATAATATATAATTCCAATTGATGTCAGTGGAAAACATTTCGCATACAAGATAAATAAAAAAAAAATCTTGGCAGAAATACCTTGTGACTTATATTTAATGAAACATGTATTAGAGAGTAGATGCTACGCAAACTTTTCGGAAGACGTGAATAAAGAGAACGGGTGCATATAACGTACTTCAATGTCTCCAAATGACTGTCCTGGTGTTCTGAATTCAGAATTGTCGTTCTCATGGGTTGTAAACCAAGGTTACAAAGCTCAGTCTTCTCAACTATTTAACCCATAGCTAAAGAATGGAAAGAGAAAAGATAGATTCATATCTTTGCCAAGGTTATTTACGCTTAAGTGAATGTAATGAACTCGACTCTCCGGTTTCTTATTCTGAACCGCCATCCATTACACTACCCGCACACCCCTCTGTGTGTGTGTGTGTGTGTGTGTAACAGCATTATATTTCCAAGAGTTCTATATTAATTCATAACAAGAAATACCCGGGGAAATTTGACTGTTCTCCTATTTTAATATTCCGATGAATTTTAATTCTTAAGTGAATTCATTGAATAAGCTCCTGGCAAGTTTCATGACTATAAAATACCCGTGGAAATTCCCCCATTGCTTCGGTAAATATTTGAGTTTAACAACTTTAAGAAAATATTGCAATAATAATCACAACTAATGCTTGATATTATTCAACGAGGTAAGACGATACAAATGAAAAGATTAAAAATGAACAAGATTTTCCATTTCCCAGAAGCAAAGATTAAACACTTGAGAGCGTTATCACCTTACCTTATCTATCTATCTATCTATCTATCTATCTATCTATCTATCTATCTATCTATCTATCTATCTATCTCTCCTTGGAGTCTTTTATTTGTGAATTTGTTTGTTTCTTTCATCCTTTCTTTTTTCTATCATTGGAGTCTTTTCTTTCTTTGGTTTTTTGCAAATTTTTTTCTTTCCTCCTCAGAATTTCATGTAACACACACACACACACACACACACACACACACACACACACACACACACACACACACACATATATATATATATATATATATATATATATATATATATATATATATATATATATATATATATATGTGTGCGGGCGTGTGTTTTTGTATGTGTGTGTGTGGCACGACGGTCATATATTATAGATATAGACAGTGTGACACATCAATCAACACTGCAAGTTGTCAGTTTCTGTCATCTCCCTCCCATCGATATAGTAAACTGAACGAAACGTTTATCTCTGTACAAGATTAAACTATGCTTTCATTTTTTTCTTTTTTTTAAACTATGCTTTCATTTTTTTCTTTTTTTAAAACTATGCTTTCATTTTTTTCATTTTTTAAACTATGCTTTCATTTTTTTCATTTTTTTCAACTATGCTTTCACTTTTTTTGTTGCCTTGTTGACATATTTTTCTTTTTCTTTTTTCCGTTTAGATATTTATCTTTGGCCCGTTCGAGATGACAACCAGTCAGCCAGAAGCTACACACTCGTGTGGTGTTCCCAACATCAATGAGTGACACTCCGGACAATTCGTCCGCATGTGCTTCGCTTTGCTTCAACCCAGACCCTGCTTTAACACGACCCCCTTTGACTGAGATCGAACCCGCAATTTCCCGCAGCACTGACGCTCACGCAGAAACGCCGACATTGGAAACGATGGGCAACCAACAAAGCGGAGAAGGCAGCTTAAGACGCAGAAGCAAGAAGAAATCCAAGAACAAGGATGATAAAGGAAAAGGCATCGTTTCGGCTTTGTTCAATGATCCGGTTTTCGGAGCCTCTGGTGTGAGCGTATATGGAGGCACTTCCGTTGACGAAGCCGCTACTCCCAATAAGAGGAAAAAGGAGACCGAACAAACGAAATCACCGCGACCAATCAGATCGACCTACGATAACGTTAACCAATCAGGCTCAGTTACAAATCTTTGTGACGCCTCAGAGATGTATACCAGCGATCTATTTCTGGATACAGTCAGTCGTCTTGATGTTAGTATGACGAGTCAGACGGAAACAGCAGGTATTCGACATCATGTTGATCCTCAAACGATTGACAATGTTTCCCATGGAGGTTCGTCTTTAGCAGAATCCGGTTTCATCACTCCGGCTCTTGCAACGCCCCAAGTCAAGAGGAACCAATTAGCCGGTGCCATGGCCACTTCTGACAGTGTTACAGAACTCGGTAAAGAGATAGAAAGAACAATCTTCGAAAGACTATCAGCCAGTCAGAAAGCCGGAAATGCTGAGGCCCAGCCGGAAGCTAGCCACACTTCGTCTCCAAAGTCGAACGAAGTTAAAATGACACTTGTTATGCAATCACCGATTCCTCCACGAAAAGCAGTGACGGAAGTCAAATTACCGGAGGCCTCTCCCCGGACTGCTAAATTAGAATTCATCAAAACTAGCAAAGATGACGTAAACAGCGACCCCGACATTGCTAAATCCAATCCCTTAAAACCATTTGTGGAATCAAAAATTGAAATTGATCTCAAAACAGGTCAGTCAGTCTCAGAAGAGAACGTCCCAAGAGCGGAAGTTAGCGACGATACGGATAAGGCTGATAACGAACTAATGGAAAAAGAATCTAAACCGGTAGAATTGAAGCAGATTTTAGAGAAGAAGACTGAGCCTGACTTATCCCCGGAGGATCAAATCCAGACCAAGGAGAAGCCGAAGGAACTGGGAGGGATTTCCAGTTCGGATGAGAATTGCGGAGATTTCGAGAAGGTGAAATTACATATCGAAGAGGAAGATTTCTTGGCTGCGACAAACCAGGAAAAGAAGACGACTACAACTAACGTTAAGGAAGAGGAATCAAGTCAGAAGGACACTAGCACTGGTCAGGCTACAACGATCACTGACCGCAACTCAGACCACAACCCCACACCCAGTGTAGCTGCTGCCGGACAGCAATTGACACTGGTCAAGCCAAACGTGCCCAAACAAGAAATAGTATCACAAGAGGAGGTGGACAAAAAAGCAATCCAGATAGAACCAAAAGAGAAGATTGAAAAGACTGAAAAAACATCTGCAGGGGTCAGGAGAAGAAGAGAGAGAACAAAAGCCGAGACCCCTAAAGAGGAAAAGATGGAAAAATCGGAAGAAGGATGCCAGGAAAATACTGAAAAATCAGAATCGGTAATCGCATCTCAGACACTTCAAATGAAATGCTCCGAGGTAACGGCATCTCCTGAGGCGACGGTCACCGCCGCTGCTGCTGTTGCAACGAAACCTTTAGAATCGACTGTTAGAATAAAAGACTTGCCTCAGGTGCCTCTGCAGACCGACGAAAATGTCAGCGTTGTCAACATACCGGAAGCTGCTTGTGAGGAATTGATAAGGGCCACAGAGTTTGCGTCTGTGGAACAGGCCCAGATGGTCATTCGACGTCCGGCCTTCCAACATGAGCAAGAGTTTCCCGATAATCAAGCCCTGACTGTAACAAAAAAGGCAGAGGAGAGCGAATTCGATCCGGAACCTAAACACGATCCGGATGTGAACTTTGAACCGGAAATGATCGACAACCAAATCATTCAAAAGAAAGACGAAGGAACAGATGAATTAAAAGTAAAAACAAAAGAAAAAATCAAAGAAAAAACTTCGATTGTTCCAAGCGAACAAAGCGTCTTAATAGAAACAAGTGAAAGTCTAGCCAAAGAACAGTCAGACATAGAATCGGTCAATATTGTGAGTACGTCGAAGGTTGACGAAATTCCAACAAGAAATACGAATGATTCCCCGAAAGAAGAAGCGTCTGCCGAGAAATCGAGTGGGGAATTATCGGACAAAGTCACAAAATCGAAAAAAGATAGAAAACGGAAGAGAAAAAAAGGAAAACGACAATCTTTGGATACTGTGACGTCGCCTGAAATTGAAGCGAAAGAAATGCCGGAGCTGGAAGACACATCTTCGCGAAAGGATAGCATAACAGTGTCAAGTACAGAGGACACTGAGAAGGGCACGACCGACGAATCAGGTGACAGCAGTGGCACTGCTTTCGGGAAACACACGCTCCAACAACAGACTACGATCATAGAAAGAACGGGTTATCGAAAAGATGGCGACGAGAAAAACAAAGAAGCAGACGACAAGCCTATTGATGCCTGTGATTTGTTTCTCCAGTCGGAAGAATTCAGAAATCAAGAACCCTGCAAAACGGAAACGCCCGAAAGCATGAATTCTAATCAAAGACAAGAAACTCCACTTGTAGCTATTGATACAAACCTAACAGTTGATTCTCCGGCTAGCAGCGAAATATTAAGTGATGAACCAACACCGACGAATGATCGGACGAATCAACTACGGGCGTTTTACATACCCGATCGCAGTCAGAAAAGTAGGGCTAAGTTTTTTTGCGTCGCAGACAGGGAAAAAACGAAGGAGAATGAAACTGAGATTGATATTAACGAAGAAAAAGAGAAAAGGGATGAAATTCAACAACAGGAACATCAGCAGTCCCCAGACTCAGAAATAAAATCTAGCGGTCCAGCTTCGCCATCAGAAGAGAAAGCAAACGACGGAAATGAAACCAAAGACAATGTGATCGCAAAAACTTGCCCGGAAGGGACCAATATGAAAACAGAACAAAAAAGAAATTTAAGAATATCACTGACTTCGGAGGAAGTCTCGGAGATTTTTCAGAACTTCCAAACAAGACTTAACGATGAGGCTTGCTCCAACAGCAAACCCTCAAGCCACAGGCAGGAAGCCGAAGACGAAGTAAAGGATATGAACGGGTCTGACCGGAAGGATCACGAAAACGGCGACGAAACCTCAGATGACGATGACCACCGGAAGGAACGCACGAAACATATTAGCAGCTTGACCCTTAGCGACATCGACAGTTCCCTTCCGGAAACGTTACCGGAACTTGCAGATTTACAAAACTTTCTGGAGTATATTAAAATTGGGGAACAGCCGACGAGAGGCGAGACACCACCCTTTTCACCCAAAGCTGAAACAGGTCGCTCGTCACCTAATGAAAACTCGAACAGCCGCCGTCTGTCTCGTATTTCACCGGCGATTACCGACAGGTCTGTTACCGAGTCGGACCTGGATATTTCCGAACAGCGTGATGACCTCAGTACAGACAGCAACATCTTCGCTGACGACGAGGATGAGTCGTCTTCGGAACTTCTCTTCACGAAAACCTACACTGAACCGGACCAGGGCGGCGAGGTGTGTGTCAGTTGCACTGTTGTCAACACCAACGCTGACGATGACAGCGACGAGTTTTGGGCCGAGAATTCAGCCAGTGAAGAAGTTTACCGGCGGATCGAATCGTCCACGCAAGCAGTGACCACGGTTTTCGACAATGCGCGTCTGCAGATGCAAGATATTCATAGCCACCTGCATAATCTCCGTTTGCAAATGGAAAGTCTACAGGAATCTCTGGATAATGCCTCTATTCTAAGCCAGGAGTACTACAATATGGACAATGACCAAGTCACGTCGCAAGAATTTTACTCCCTTGAAAAAGGTTTGTTAGTTTCGCAAGAATATTTCTCGAGAAGCCAGAAGGCACAGGTGACAACTGAAGAGTATTCTCCCGTGGATATTGGTCCGGTATTAACGGAAGAATATTATTCGTCAACACTGGGCAAGCCACCTCTGTTGTAGGCATTTTATTTAAGACACCAAGCATTTCAAACAGAAAACCATGAAAAGCACAAAGAAAAAAAAACGTAACATTTTCTCAGAATCATAGACATTGTGAATTTACATTATCGACTTCATGACTTTTTTTTTTTTTACACGAGAGTGAATTTAAAATTTAAAAAAAAGATGAACAAGAAAAGACAAATACGTCGATTATTTTAACTCCAATACACATGCTCTTTTTAAAACGAAAAAAAAGCAAAAAGTTATTTGTGAAATCAGTGAGAAAATTAAATTATACTTTAGTTTGAAGAATAATTTAATTAGAAAAATTTAATTAAGCTAAGAAGCCATTTTAATTGGGTGAAAAACATGTTTCTCAAATTTCCAGGATTCGTTCTGAATTCATAAAAAATCTGCGTTAACAAAATGGCACGGGTAAAAAGACTGCTGTTAATGTTTAATATCAGGTACTAATTTTTACAAAAAATTAGAGAGAAAAGCGGTCTCTTTGTTTCGATATTAAAAAAAAATTTATAAATAATGGGAATAAAAACAACACGTATTATTTATATTTAATATTCTGTCTTGAGTTAAAATAAAAAAAAAGGTGTTGGGAGTCATCTAGCGATGGCTTCTTTGGTTCTTTCTTGGCAAACAATGCTAACAATGGCAAGAGTTGAAACATCAGAAAATTCCTGTGTATATTACTTCGAATTCGGCATTCGATATATTTCGGTAAAGATACCAAGTCATTTTTGGTTAGTTTTTTCTTCATCTTACTGTTTCTTTATATTCAATTATTCCAGGATGAACACTCTTCGACCGATAAAGTCGTGTGACTGAGAAATAAGCAACTAACTTTCGATGAGACCTAAACTGGCATTCTATATCCCTGGGGCTCGTCTTTCATGGGTGACGCCTTAATCGAGATGAGAAACATGTTCAGTCGTATTACTTTAAGGGTCGGAGTGTATTCAATGTAATAAGCATCACTAATTTGAAGAAATGACTAGCAGAAAATGAATAATAAAAAAAAAGAAGTTAATTACAGAAACCAACCAACTTAAAACTATTGCATCAACTACTACTATTAGGTTGTAAACAAAGAATATGAATGGAAGGAGGTGCCTTGTTTTGTCATAGACTTCTTTTTGTCGGAAGTTACTTCTTTTTATTCCGACTTCATGTTACTTACCAAATGCATGGAAAGAATTCAACCTAGAAAATGGTGATGAAAATTACATGAAAATGAAGATCAACCCACAAAAGGAATAATAAAAAATAGTTAATATCAGAAACTAAGCAACTATTGCTTCTTCTACTACTATTAGGTAGTAAACAAAGAATATGTGAAGAAACAAAAGGGAGAAGTTGCAATATGACTATAGATTTTACTTTTGTCTTGGTTTATCTATATAGGATGCGTTCTCAGGATATGACATAAGTATTCAATTTTCATTGGGAACTATAGATATATTCTTGGTTCATGCTGCTTACTTTAATTTTTGGTTTGGTTTGGTTTGTTTTACGGCATATCAACCTCAATGGGTTATTTAATGCCGATAAAATTTTTATTGCTGGTAATATGCTTTTCTTCAAAAATCTATTTCTGGGAATATTTTGTCCTTAAAGAAATCTATAGCTGGTAATATTTTTTTCAAAGAATGTATAGCTGTTTGTATTGCTGGTACTTTTCCTTTTTTAAAGTATTGCTGATAATAGTTTTTCGTTCAAAAATTATTGCTGGCAATATTTTTTTTATTACAAAGTATTTCTGGTATTAAAACCTATTTTTACACAAGTTTGGGTGTCAACTATTTGCCCATAGCTTGGACCCTAACAGGTGCTACCACTCCGGGTCAGGGTGGACCTGGGAACGCCAGCAATTAAGAGGTGGTTCCACGCTCCTCAAAACCTCCTGATCAGAGGCCTTGCTGCTGGATGTAGTTTATCGTCTAACCCAGGACGCGGATGTAGTTTATTGTCATACCCAGGATGGGCTTACTTTAAAGACCGGAGAGTATTCAAAGTTACTGGAATGATTTGAGTGTATTTGATTGTGAAAATTGAAAAATGGCAACTCTAAGACCAGCCAAAAATTATTAATGAAAACATTTAATATCAGAAACCAACTAACATAAAACTATTGTTTCTACTACTACTATTAGGTAGTGAACAAAGAATTATGTGATTAATCAGAAGGAAGATGTTGAAATATGGCTACAGAATTGACCTTTGTATGGCCATAGTCTTATGTATATGAGTTCCCATAATATGGGATGTTTTTGTTGGAAGTTTATTCTTTATGCCTATTTCATGAAGCTTAAATATCTTGGAAAGAATTCAACCTAAAAAAAAACTAGTTAAAAAACAGAAACCAACCAACTATTACCTCTACTACTATTAGGTAGTAAACAAAGAATATGTAAAGAACCAAAAGGATGGAGTTGCAATATGACTATAGATTTGACCATTGTCTCACTATTAAGCTTCTATGGGTGAATTGATTAAAACATCATCCATGTAAGTTGAAATTCTGGGATATGAGATGTAAGGTCAGTTTTCTTTTTATAGTTATTGCTTATGATAAAATGAACGCGAAGATGAAGAAAAGGCCAGCAAAAAAAAAAAAATGAATACTAAAAAATTGTTAATATCAGAAACCAACCAACTATTGCTTCTACTACTTCTATGTGAATAATCAGAAGGGAAATGTTGCAATATGGTTAAAGATTTGACCTTTGTATGGGCATAGGCTTATCTACATGAGTTCCCAAGATATCAGATGTTTTTTGTTGGAAGTTACTTTATAATTCCGACTTTGTGATGCCTTTAAAGAATTCAACCTCGAAAAGTGTCATAAAAAGCACATGAAAATGAAGAGCAACCCACAAAATGAATAATAAAAATAGTTAATATACACGCTTAGGCAATCATGTATCTTTTGATACATGACTAACGAAGCAGGTTTTTTTTCCCGCAGTATATTGCCATTTCTTTCTGCGGTAGACCAATTGCCATCCAAGGCTGTAGAACCCGGTCTGTCCTGCTATTTACCTATAGTTGTAGGGTGAAGAAGAGATTTCATAACTTTCCCAACGGTATTGGCACGTAAGTGAATGTAATGTATTCGACTGGAATTCGAACTCGGCTCTCCGATTTCTCAATAGATAATATCAGAAACGCAAAAACCTATTGCTTCTACTACTACTATTAGGTAGTAAACAAAAAATCTGTGAATCAGAAGGAAGAAGTTGCAACATGACTATAGGTGTGACCTTAGACATAAACTTATCCATATGAGTTCTTAGGATCTGAGATGAGAAATCAGTTCTAACTGAGGACTACTACTTTATTACCAATCTATTCTGCTAATCGGTAAGGAGCTGTTAAGGTAAATTGAAGCCCAAAAGTTAAAACAGGGTTTATATTTTCTTTTTGATCCACGCTGATTACTTCGCAACTGTAGGAGGCAAAACAGGCTGAGTGTTACAATTAAGTGAAAAAAAATGCAAAAAATATTTAAAATTATTAGTAACAAGCATTCATCTAAGAAATTCGGACAGGTCAAATATTTTACGAGGCTCGTAATTTGAATATTTTGCGGAATAAATAGATATCACCATATTATTTTTCTCTTCTGTTTTCTATTCAAGATAATTATAAAATAGTATTAAATAATTATATAATTTTAATGAATTAATAAGAAGTTCCATAAGGATAAAATTTTATATAAAAAAAAGAATCTAGTTTGAGACTATTAAATCTACTACTATTAGATGGTAAACAATATGTTATGAAAAATCAAGAGGTGCAATATGGATATAGATTTGAGCTCTAATAATAGGTGTATGTAGCTGAACTGGTTAGAGAATCATTTATTTAAAATGAACCCCCTTGATAGTAATGTTAGTTCAAATTTTGTTGAGATCTATTTTATTCATACTTCTTGCCGGTTGCTTGAAGGCTTGGAGGATATTCAGTCGAGAATGTTCTGATAAAAAACATTCCTAAGATGAAGAAAAGATGAAGCAAAAACAACGTATAAAGAGTCTGCTTTATTCAACTAATTTAAGGTTAAATCCATCTAGTTTAAAAATATACAAAATTTCACACGGCGAAACGAAGGCCACTTGAGAAATTAATTTCTGCTGATTTTCCAAGCGTATCTGAGATGTGACACAAGGCCGAAAGTATGGGGCACCCAGTGAGGATCGAACTCATTACTCGGTCGTAATTTTTCTAGCGAGACAAGTTTGCTAACCATTACACCGCCTTGAGTTACCCATAGTGATTACACAAGCATAGCTTAGATGTGGCACAATGCTGAAAGTATAGGACACCCAGTGAGGATCGAAATCACTACTAGCGAGACAAGTTTGCTAACCATTACACCGCCTTGAGGCGCCCAGTGATTTTCCAAGCGTAGCTTAGATCTGGCACAAGGCCGAAAGTATGGGACACCCAATGAGAATCGAACTCACTACTCAGTTTTAATTTTTCTAGCGAGACAAGTTTGCTAACTAACACCGCCTCGAGGTAGCCATAGTGATTTTCCAAGAGTAGCTTAGATGTGGCACAAGGCTGAAAGCCTTGGGCACCCAGTGAGGATCGAACTCACTACTCAGTCCTAATCGTTTTAACGAGACAAGCTTGCTAACCATTACACTACATCGAGGTGTCCCATTCATCTCAAATATATTAACGGTGATACACTATTTGTGACATGCACAAAGTGCAGCAGAAATACATCCCACAAAATAGTAAGACATTAGTTAAATGAAGACACCATTGCCTTACCGTTAGGCGAGAGGTATTTTACCGCATCTTGTATCACTAGATGAAAAATCACTTGGAAAATCACTATATGAGATGAATTGTAAGGGTTTGGTCTCTCTTTTCTCGTTCTTAAAACTAGGATAAATCTAGGTTGATTTTACGATTTGTAGGAATGTGCAGCGTCAAGCACCTTTTAACTAAATCCCCACCAAATGCTTTCGTTGTTTTGTGACGAGAAC